AAAAAAAAAACGGGACACGGAAAAAAAAAAAAAAAAAAAAAAAAAAAAAAAAAAAAAAAAAAAGACTGTGGTTCTGGAGACAGACTTTCTGGATTTGAATACTGGTTTTACTACATACTATCAGTGTGACCTCAGGCAAGTTGCTTAATCTTTCATTGATTTAGTTTTCTAATTTGTAAAATGGAAATAATAATACCTACCTCATAAGGTTGTTACAAGGATTAGATGAGTCAATGCATGAAAAAGTGCTTAAATTAAAACACTAGCCCCAAATCAGTTTCAAATTAAATATCAATTCTAATAGAATAATGCATTCTGGAAATAGAGCATAAGGGAAAATGACAGAGGGAAAATTTTCCAAGAAACACTATTAGAGCAATTTCCAGGACTGAAAATTGAAGAGGCCTAGTGACTACTTAATCAGAACAAGGGATAGAAAAAGACCCACATATGAAATTTTAGTATATCATGGATAAAAAATTCTGAAAGCTGCTAGAGAAAAGACAGGGCACATACAAAGGACTGGCAATCAGAGTATTGGATAACCCAATGCAGTTCTGGATTCTAGAAGAAAATGAAGCAGTGACCTCAAAATTCAGAGGGAAAAAGTTGTCTGAAATTCTGCCTGCAGACAAACAGAAAACAAAGTATTTTCATACATGCAAGGAATCAGAAAATTTTATCTTCCTTTACCCTTTCTTAGGATGCTAATAGAGGATGAGATCCAGGAAATGGAATCCAACAGGAAAGAAGGAAAGAGAAGTCTGAGGACTTCAAATTTATAGGAGACATAAGTAGCAACCAGTCTAGGTTGGAGCAAAAGGATGGAAGATCCAGGGAAAAACATGCAATCAATGAATTTTTTGATAATTTGTGGCATCTGAAAAATAATACTGATGGCATTTGACAGATCTGTTAGAATTCTGAAAATATTAGTGGTTTGAACTTAAAATTAAGCAAATGAAGGATCCAAGGCAATAGTTAACTTTTTTTTTTTTTTTTTGTCTTTTTCCATGTCCGGCAATGGATTGCAACCCTCAGTGTTGCCCCCGTACCGGACCGGGGACCGGCAACGGGATTGCAACCCTCGGTGTTGCTCCCGCGCCTCGCTCAGCCAGTGAGCGGGAACCGGTCTGTATGTGGGATCCGAACCCTTGGACGGGAGCGCCGCCGCGCTTCCCAAGCGGCGCACTTATCCAGTGCGCCACTGGGCCGGCCCGGCAATAGTTAACTTTAATCAAAGCATTGTTTAAAAATATATATAACTGTATACTTGGCTGAGCAATGAATAATGTTATATGTAATATGAATACTATATACTGATTTAGCCAAAATTTTTTATGTAACATTGTGGAGAGGGGAATGGAAGTGGGATAGAATAAAATGAGAAATATGAGAATAATATGCCTTATTTGCCACAAGAGCAAGACTACAAATAAGGTCTTGACAGGTCAATAATAGCAATATAAGCAATATTATTTGGCATTGTGCAAAGGAAATGTTAGAAGAAATGGCTAAGAGTTGTCTATGAAAGCAGTATGGAAGGGGGCTAGAAATTTCTGTTTTTGTTATAAACTCTTATAGCATCTGTCTTTTTAAAACTATTCACATATTATTTTGGATGAAAATACAATAATTTCTAAAAGTCATGTATAAATAATATACAAGTAAGAGAGAAGACGGTGATTTTAACTATGTCTCTTAAAAAAAAAAGTAAAAAACTTCTTGCTGGACTGGGTTTTTAAGTAGTTATTTCACTAAGTCTTTCAGATTGCTAGCCAACTAAACATAGAAATTGTTGTTGTCTAATGCCCTACTCTCTAAGGGCAGCTGCCTCATCATTCTGTAAGGGATATAGTAGTTAATACACAATAGAACAAAACAATTGTAGTCAGATGTTAACCACATATTTACAACACTAATACAGTAAAATGAAAAGAAACAAAATACAAACAGTGCAAATATTGACTTATAGAGTCTCTGATTTGTTGTGTACATCCCTGCTTCAGGAAGGGGAGATATGACCTACTTAACTCAAGAACAAACTAATTTTGTTGGTACTGAATGATACCATAATTAAAGCGAGATTTTCCAAAGTGAAATTGCATTGACAAATGTAGGAAAGTTGTAAAAGAGATGAATTGGTTTAGTAAAACTTTGAAGAGTCAGGTTTGTTTCAGTTTCTTGTAGCAAAAGGTAATCAGATATTTGAATGTGATTGATCATTTGGGTCTTTAGAGAAGGTGAACATTTGAGTAAGGTGAAAGTTTATCTTAAAAAATGTATTTGTTGAAATGTTTAGATTTTGTTGTATATATTTTCATTATGGTCATATTTCAAAGACTGATTTTGAATGGAAGAATCCTACCTAGGAAATTTTACTATTTTCCTATAGTATATAGGGAAAACCTTAGTGAAGAACATAACATGTGAGCTCTCTCAAACTAAAAAACTGGAAGTACTCAAAATTGGAAGTGTGGAGGTTTTTCAGGGCATCCATGTAAGTGACCTCAATTTCACCTTACCTCTTAGTTCATTGCCGAGGCCACCTGACTATCTTTTCTCATCCCGTCTGCCTGGAGTACCCCCATCTCCTTCCGCTACATCTCTCCACCCCTAGCACTCCTATGTGAAATCCTCCTTGTTCCATAAGGTTCAATCAGGTCTCGTCTTTACCACAATATTTTGATTCCTTGCTAGCTGGGAGTACTCACCTTTGCTAAACTCCTGTTATATTAAATTCTCTGTATTGGTGTTTTTTTAAATATGCCTTATCTCTCGTACAACAGGAGTGGTATTTTTTCTGGATTTTCTGTCTTCAATTAGTACCTTATACAGGTTACGTGCTTACAGAATTTTTGTTTTAGTTATGTAAATGTAGATTCAGGTTCTACAAAATAGCTCTTCCTAAAAGCAAATTGTTTTAATACGTTTACAGTCTTACATGAATTCTTTCAACTCCTTAATGTGGATTGGACATTTACTTTAGTTGTTCCTAACAGATGACATTTTATTTTTGTCTTTCAGTCTTACCTCCAGTATT